CTGATATTCAGGATTCCCCTCGAACAAATGGCCATAATTTCCTAACCGTAGGGGTTAGAACGTTCATTTTCAACATCGTTTTGTTCAGAAGAGATGGGGGAATCTTTGGGTCATTTCATTTTCATTCATTCATTTCATTTATTTGTTAATTTTCAGGCACAACAAATACCTATATTGAACATAAAATGCACAAAACAAAAAACAAAAATTGCCTGAAAAAGGAGTGGGACGAAGAAAACTTATTAAATCCCACCCCTATACTCACTCATCAACAAAAAAAACAAACTTCTCGCAGCTACGCCCATCATTGCATACAGACCCATCAACAGCCCCGGGCACATACAAGCATCTAAACGGCAGCTCGCAAACAACAATTAGAGCCTTCATAACTGAATACAGAATATATAAATTATAAATTGCATTACCACAGGTAACAGGCAGTAATAACTACAAGTAACAAACACACATACATATACATACATATATATCTACACACACATGTACATATATGTACATACATACGCACACTTTTTTTTTTTTTTGGAATCCATACCAGCAATGGTAAGGATGGTAATGGGTCTTCATAAATCAGAGATAAAATATAAATTATCAAAGATATATGACTTGTAATACACTGTAACTGAGTAGAGGAGAAGCAAAAACTGCCTTGACTTGCCCTCAAACAACGCTTTCTAACTCTAAATCTAAATGGAGCATCAAAATCATTCTTTCACCGTAAGAGACAGCAGGCTTTGGTGAACAGTCATGGAAATTTTCAGGTCTCTCTGGAAATCCGTTAAAAAAATATGACGAGAGAAAAAAGTGGTTCATTTCCAGAGTTTGAAATCTGAAGAAATCTGAGCGAAGGACGAATTTCCTACCCTCAAACAAGTCTACCTCATCTCAGAACGGTAATAGGTGAGAAAATTATTCTTGAATTGTGAGCGTCAGGAGTGTCTGAAGATATACTCGGACAAGCCTTATGTCTTAACTTTGGAGATATGACAATTTGAAAATGCCTCTCATTAGAGAAATCCAGCGGTGATTTTGAACAAACTCTCCATTGACTTTCAATGGAGAGTTTTCCGACTTTGTGTTGCTCTGAGGAGATTTGCAAAAAATCTATAAGTCCCACAACAATGATAGTGACATTTTCTTGAAGCCAGCAAAAATACCTACATTTTGATGTATAATTTGTGGGGATATAGTGGACATTGAGCGAGTAGCAAGAAGTTGTTTGGACATGAAGAGAAAATTCACAAAGTTTCACTGTCCACTCTGAGTTAATTGCATAGCAACCATAACAACGCATTTATTTTGTGAAAAATCACAATTTTGCAACTGAAAACTTAAAGAGGGATAAGATTAAAAGGATAGAAGATCTGAAAAAGCTGAATCATACAGGAATAGCCCAATCATTTGAGAACATTTTAAAGTTTGAATGGTAACATTCAAACATTCAAACTTTAAAAACTGTCGGCATCCACACAATAAAGTAGAATAAAGAATAACGAGAAACAGGAACTCAATAGTGTGGATGCAGGAAATGCAAATTGTGTCATAGGGCATCCACACAATTTGCACACCCTCATGCTCTCATATGCAACTAGAAAAAATTTGCATTTCCTGCGAAAATGCTGTGTGGATGCCTTAACGCTGAAGATGTCTGCTGAAAAAAGCTGAAAAAGTTAAAAAGTTGCAAAAAGTCGTAAGGCGGTGAAGAACCTGAAAATTCCGCTGAAAACAGGTGAAGAAGCAAAATTTCTTTGCTGAAAAGTGGTGAAAAGCAAAAAATTCTACTGAAAGGTGTAAAGACGGAGAAATTTTTGCTGAAGAGTGGTGAAAAAAAAAAGTTGCCCTGAGCAGGATTTGAACCTGGCCCTCCTGGTCTTTCTGAAAACAGCAAAAAAAAACCTGAAAATTTTGCTGAAAAGGGGTGAAAAAGCTGAAATTTGTGTTGAAAAGAGTTAAATAAGTTGAATTGGTAACTGAAAGAAATGTTGCCATAAGAGGGATTTGAACCCAGTCTGAGAACGGCTGCTCATCTCACTGAGCTAAAACACAGCTCAACCGGGCAAGGAAAACTAGTGACCAGACTGATAATGTGGAAGAAATGGGCAAAAAATATTGCAAAAAAAAATTCAATATCTCAAAAATATAGAAGTCATGAGCACCAAAAGTCATAGCTGAAAAGAGCAGCCCCACCACAGAGAAAACTGCACCCACCCCGTCATCCACTCATCTTCCAGACTACACAAGACAATAGACGCCCAGGCTGAGATCTTCCTCCACCTCTCCTGTATGTCCCCCTCCTGCAGAGTGAGTTCCTGAAGAGAGGAGAGCTCCTGCAAGGTGTAACAACCTCCCCCACCAGTTGAAGAGCCCCCCAGGTGGCTTGATGCACTGGCGGCACCCTGCGCCGGGGCCGGGCCCCCATACACCCACCCGCCCACAACCCCAGCAACATACCAACCAGGACCCAAGCCCCGAGGCCCAGCCAGGGCCCCAGCCCAGAAACGGAGCGCCCCCAGAACCTCACGCACGTCCCGGACCCACCCAGGGGCAGCCAGGCTACCAGGTCAGTAACCCACGTCCATCAACACAGACCCTCCCCTAGCCCTGCTGCACGCAGCCACGAGGAAACTGTCACCTAAGAGCCAACAGAGCCCCTAATTGGCCATGACCGCTACCCAGGGTTGAGCCCCCCAAGGAAGATGCTCCTGGGGAACCCCCCGATGCCCTAAGCCTGTCCCTACCCCCACATCAATCAAAACAGCGAAGGTGGGACCAAACTATGACCCCCCACCCCCACTAGGTGATGGAGCTGATCAAATGAGCCCAGAGCAATTGATCTGATGTGGTGGCAGAGGCTGTATTGAGACTAATGTAATCTAATAGATAATTTCTATATTGGTTAGAATTAAGATTATTTTTATTTTTCCAGTTCCTGAGGACTGTTTTCTTGGCTATGCATAGGGCAGTGAAAACCATATGGGCTATATTCTTATCTGTAGTGACATTATCTAAGCTGCCCAACAAACACACTAAAGGGGAAGTTGGAATGTTACATTTCAGACACTTTGATAAGTCTTCACATATCTCACGCCAAAACTTCTGAACTGGTGGACAGAACTAAAGAGCGTGAATATAATTGTCCGGTGTATTGGTTTGACAGTGTGAGCAGTTGTTGGTAGACGTAAAGCCCATCTTGAACATCCAATGACCTGTATAGTGCACTCTATGTAGTATTTAGTATTGAATTAGTTGAAGACTGGGATTTCTAATTAGATGAAAGATTTTTAAGCAAATCTGAGGCCAGAAGTTTTGGTCTAAGTTAGCTGATAAATCTGCTTCCCATTTTGCAATAGGAAGTGATATTGATTCATCTGTTTTAGAAAGCATTCTGTATATTTTGGATAGTAATTTGGGGGTTTTAAGAGTAAGAAATTGAACCACACTTGGTGGTGTTTGTAGTTCAACTTGACCCGGTTTAAATTTCTTTTTTACTATGGATTTAATTTGTTGATATTCTAAAAATATTACACACACATAATACACACCTCGGGCTGCTGTGGGAGTTGTTATATTCCCTTTTTAATGCCTTTATTTTCTTTCTTCCATAGCTACTCGTGATCCCCTTGTTTTCCTCTCTCCCTCACTCAGACACACACCTCCAGGAGCAGTCCCACACATCCTTCCACAGCCTTCATTAAAGGGCTATACCTGTAACATGAGGAACAATACTCGACAACGCCAAATTGTTATGGAAATTTTAACAATGACCTGCAACAAACCAGGTGAGCGTTTTGAAATAGTTTAATAACATATTACAACATGGAGAGAAACATCCCAGCCAAAACACTAGGATCATCTCTGAATTGTGGCCACCGCCCTTACATCTTATATACCCTATCACAGACACTCTTACACAAAGAACATTGAACAGAACATCATATATCTCTATACCTTCAGCCAAGCTCATCCTTGCCCCTCTCCCACTGTAAGAAAAGTTACGACCACCCGTCACCTCCCTAAGAGCATGATGTTTGGAGATCTTCAAGGGGTTTTTAAATGTTGCTCACATGCTGTGTGCACATAAATTGCAAATGTCTGTTTCTGTTGAAGTAAACAAAAACACAAACATAATACAAACACAGCACAGCAAAGCTTCATTAAAGTCTAAAGACTGACGTCTGGACTGTCTTGAAGGTGAGAACTGCACATCTAAACCTAGAAGTCTGTCTGCAGAAAGCAGAAAAAGAAGAAATGACCAAAATCCTCCAGATGATTTTCAAGAAAGGAACAGCTGCAGTTTAAACAAGAGAAATATGTTTACCGGTTTATATAATGCTATGTTTACCTATTGGGCCACGTTCTTCGCTTTTCTCTGTGTCATAAAATCAATTCCTTTCATGTTGTCACTCCTTACTCCTTTTGTCTGTTTCAAATGACACATGGAAGCTTCTGTTTGTGCAGAAGTGCCATCTAATGCACAGGTGAGTTAAGCATCTTGAGAAGTGCTAAAGAAGCTCCTCCTCTTGGAAATACTTTCATGAAAATAAATGAGTAAATAAAAGGAAAAATATTAACTATTACTCAATAAGCTCCTCTAAATCAATACATTTGTTTCCTTGCTCACCCCGTTTGTGTACACCCACTCTGTGGACAGATACCTGTACTCCACCACATCATCATGCTCTCCCATCTGAAGTTGATCACTATCTGTCTGATCTTTTTTTACATTAAGAAGCAGATGATTCCTCACAGACCACTCCACATATTTATCCAACTATTTATCCGGGAAACTTTTGATGCTTCTTTTAGATGCTTCCATAGCTTCTCTCTCAGTGATAATGTTGGTACTTGGTGGACAAGATCTTGGAAAAAGTACATTTATGTACATAATTAATTTATTTTAAGCGAAAATGTTGTGTTTGTATGACATAGGAAAAAGAGACTTCTCTAATTTTTCAAAAATTTATTTAAAACTGGATTTTCTTTTCACTGGTGCTTTGTAACTGAAGTTACTGAAACATTAACAGGTTTCATATCGTATAATAATCAAGAAATACAGTTGCACATTTTTCTGTTTGTTCAGTAAGCTGTAGGATTTTGTTTCCTTCGTCTGGATCCCCTTTAGTATAACAATGCATGCTAATAGAGAAATATATGAGTGGTAATTGACATCACACATCAGACTCTTTCAGATCCTCTCCAGTGGCCGCAGGCTGGTAAGGCTCTGTGGGTCAGATAAGCAGATGCATTAACACAAACCAAGATTTGGCACAAAAGTTTCTCAACCTGTGGTTAGATGTAAAATCCTAAGATTTGGTAAATAAAACACAATCACAAAGTTATTCTTCGATGGAGTGTTTTGGCGCCGTTTTGCCATTTTTGTGTGTGTGTAGAATGGAAAACAAGAACAGGCAGCAGAGACTCTTAGCCAGAAACCTTTTTGTGGGCTCATTGGTGTTTGCCTTTTGTTACGACTCAGGTCATAATCTTGTGTATTGTTTTCGCTCATCCACACCTGATGGTGGAATTGTTCATTTTCTCTGCCTCTTTTTTTCTGCTGCTTCAATCACAGACGGTGTGTTTAGTAATGTACTATGTGTTCAAGTTCCTGTGTCTAGAATAACTAGGTAAACTAGGTCTTCCTCCACTACAACCCAACCAATCGCTGCAGATAGCTGCCGCTCCCTGAGCCGGCTGGAGGTTTCTCCCTGTTAAACAAGAGTTTTTCCTTCCCACTGTGGCCAAGTGCTTCCTAATAGGAGGGTCGTTTGATTGTTGGGGGTTTCTCTGTATTATTGTAAAAACTTAGAATCCAAGACTTTAATATAATATATTAGTACTTAACTCCCTTGAGGCATCTACTGTTATGATTTGGCTCTATATAAATAAAATTGAAATGAACTCAATTAAACTATTTGAGAGTGCCAGATGTTAATAATAATTACTAACTCATTATTAAATACAGAATGCATTTAAAAAATGAGCATTTAACTGTGCTGTTAACTGAGGCTCAAGCATACTTGAGCATTTAATACCATCTGACATTTATTGTGTGTTTGTCTCAGGTCAGAGTGGTGCAGTGGTTAGCACTGTTGCCACATGTTGAGGCAGATGTGAGGCGCATAATGCTTTCGGTGATGCATGATGATCATCGCTGCCTCGAACAACTGAAACACAAAGTAGACTCCCGGGAATAGATACAGAGGACCCACCACTTCGCTAGGGAAGGCTACCTTCAATATGGTGGAGCACAGCGCAGTATTCTGACAGCCTGTTTCCATGTAAACGGTCCTCCGCTCCCTGAAGGCAAGGAAGGATTATTTACAAGTCATATCTATCTACCTGCCTGTGTGTCTGTCTCTCTCTCTCTCTATATATATATATATAGAGAGAGAGAGAGCGATCTATCTATATGTTTTTCCAAACCTCATAGGATCATCAATGTCGATAATATCGATCAATGACTGAATTAAGCAAATAACCTACCTTTGGTTGAGTCTGAAGATCGCAGAGAAGACATATCCAAAGCAGTAGCCTATCAAAGGCATGAGACCAGCGATGGCCAAGAGTGAAGGAGACAGCACAGTCAGGATGTAGCGTCCGTTTGCAATAATAGCTAAGGTCAAGGTCACCACATTAAAAATAAGGAAGATAATGATGCCTACCTAACAACAGCAACAAGAGAGGGAATAAATCAGTGTTTGACTTCTCTTTTGGTTCTATGTTGCTCAAAAAATTAAAGGAACACTTTTCAGAGTATAGCATTAAGTAAATGAAACTTCTGGGATATTGATCTGATCAGTTAAGTAGCAGAGGGAGTTGTTAATCAGTTTTAGTGGCTCGGATGTTGATGAAATCAACAACAAGACAACACTCAAAACAGAAATGGAGGCCATTGGGATTTTTCCAACCTCATCATTTCTGACTGTTGTCAATTCATCTCAACTCAAGTTGAATTGAGGCAACTCAAGGCACTTTATATTGTAAGGTAAAGACCCTACAATAATACATTGAAAACAAAGAAAACCCTAATAATGACCCCTATGAGCAATCGCTTTGGCCACAGAGGAAAGTAAAAGCTCCCTTTTAACAGGAAGAAACCTCCGGCAAAACCAGGCTCACTGAGGGGTGGCCATCTGCTGTGACCAATTCGGATTGAGAGGAGGAAAACAGGACAAAGTCACAAGCCATCGATTAATAATAACCAATGATTAAATGCTGAGTGGTGTATAAACACATAGTGAGTAAAGAAGAAACACTTCATCAGAAGCCCCAACATCCTAGACCTATTGCAGCATAACTAAGGGAGGATTCAGGATCACCTGATCCAGCCCTAACTATAAGCTCTGTCAAAACGTTTTAAGCTTAATCTTAAAAAATAGAGAGGGTGTCAATCTCCCGAATCCAAACTGGGAGTTGGTTTCACAGAAGAGGCAACAGCCTGACAGCTGAAGGCTCTGCCTCCCATTCTACTTTTAAATACTCTGGGAACCACAACTAAGCCTGCAGTCTGAGAGCAGAAGTTCTCTATTAAGGTGAAATGGTATTACGAAGTCTTAAAAATCGATTCAAGATTTAAGACCTTGTATGTGATCAGGAGGATTTTAAATCCTCTTTTTTTATTGAGCCAAACAATATTTTTCCTGGCTGATCCTGTAAATGAGTGAGACACCATTTCCTCTCCAGCCTATGAGTTATCTGCTTTAAGATGCCCGTTTGAAAGTTATACCAGGGAGTCAAGTACTTCCTATTTGAGTCTTTTTTTTCCCCCAGAGGAGCTAGAGTGTTGTACGGAGTGAAGATGTAAAATTATTAAAAATATAATGACCTCTGTGGGAGTAGCGTTCAGGTAGCTTCCCCTGCTCTACCTGTATCTGCTCCTTTGTTCAAGGAGGAACGGGATGAGCATTGTCAGAGCCCTATAAAATCGTGTGAATGTCTCTTTCATAAGGGTGGCCTGAGGGCCAGACGTCCTCTAGTGGGCCCTCTTGTCACGGTACTGGGCCATGAGGCCCAGGGTTTAAGTTCTAATGCATATTTTTTGTATCCACATGTGTAGTTTAACGCATCTAGTTGTTTTCTAGTTTGCAGTTTAGTCCTTGGTTTCTTAGTCCCTTTTGTCATCTCTCCCTGGTCCGTGTGTCTACCTGTCATGTTTCATGTCTCTGGTTAGGTTAAGTTCATGTTCTATCTCCATGTCTATGTCTCTGTGTTTCCTGTTTTAGTTTGAAAGAGTATGGTGTTCTTTGTTCATTGTAGTTAGTGTTACTCTCCCCTGTATTGTCATTATGTTTCCTTCTAGTCAGCTGTGTTCTCATGTGTCTCCACTGATCACCTCATGTGTGTATTTAAGTCCTCAGTCTTCCTTTGTTCGTGACCGCGTCATCTGTTCAACTTCCCCCATGTTACGCCAGGTTTCAGGACTCTGTGCTGGTCATGTTACTTACGTGTATAGTTCTTTGTTGTTCCAGCACAGAGTACTGTTCATAGTAGTCTCCCATATGCATTGTTGTCACCCTGTCTTCGCTTTCCCTGCTGTCTGAGTTTAGTGTCAGTTCTTAGTTTTCCCAGTTCAGCTTCTAGTTTAGTTTTCCCTCTGTGCTTTCTGTTGTTTGCCACGTTAATCAGCCCAAATAAAGGCTCGCTTTTCGTTTCAAGTTCAGTACTGTCTCCTCGTCTATGTCTGCACCTGGAACCTCACACTCCCACACACGGTCCGTCCGCTGCAGACCGTGACACCTCTGCTCATTCCCTGATGCTGTGGAGCCTCATTTGGCATTTGCCATGGAATGCCGGAATTGGCAGGTCCACCCTGTGCTTTTCACAGATGAGAGCAGGTGGGTCAGTGATGGTTAGCGGGGGCTTATCAAAGGAATGCAGAGACCTCTACAGGCTAGGCAACAGCACTCTGACTACCATTAGGTATCTGTTTGAGATCCTTAGACAAGCTACAAACTACAATGAAATTTCAGCAAAATGCACTAACCTTTTACATATTTTTTTTTCTTTGATTTTCGGGTGTCTTTGAATTCACCTCTATAGGTTAATGATTCTCGTTTCCATCAGATGGAATTTCTTCATTCCTAACACATTACCCATTTAACATTATTATAGATATTCAGCATGCTTTTTTCTTTGGAGATCTGATGTGTGTCCAAAGTCTCCAAAGCCTTACGAATTATCAAGTCTCTGGAATTGTATCAGTTCACAGATTGATGTCTAGAGTTATTCAATTTCTCTGTCTGTCAAGTGAAAAAAAATCAGTAAATCCTAACATTTAAGATGACAGAATCCACAGGTTTTCTGTTGTCTTTTGTTTTTTGTTAAACAATATAACAAATATCAGTTATTAAAGTCATTATTTGCCATTCCTGCACCAACTGATTAATCAACACTGTTAATCAGTTCTAGTGATCTGTCTGACCTTCATTCTCTTCACAAACCTTTGTGACCCTCTTTGAATACTGCGGCCTGTAGGTGTTGATGAGGATGCCGATGCCACACGGGACAAGGGTCAAGACCAACGATAAGATGATTTGAACATACGGGACAGCGTTCCGCACGCTGGGGAAACCCTGGCAGTAGATGTAGAGCAGGAGAGGCATCATACCCATAGCCAACAACGTGGAGCAGGAAGTCATCACGATGCTGAAGGGAAAGACAAGGGTTATGATCACCTCAAATTACATTTTTAATATAAATGTATTACAAGAATATAACTTCCCATGTGTACCTGAGGTTCATGTCCCCCTTTAGTGCCAGAGTCAATGTGTTGGAGTTAGTTCCTCCAGGACAGCAGCCACAGACCAGAACAACCACAGCTGTTATATCACTCAACTGGAACCCCTGTAACACAAAATCACAATAACCTCTTACAGGGTGCCAGTAACAAGGTTTAACAGTGATACAAGTGCTGATCTGGTGTCAGTTATATTCTGGTACAGCAACACAAATTCAATTATATTGGGCCACTATGTATTATAGGGTGAAGAGCAAGAGTACTAAATGACACTGGAAAGAGAAATCAAATTTCCCTCATATTAGCTTCTCTTCATTGGTTCCCTGTTAAATTCAGAATTGAATTTAAAATGATTTTCCTCACATAAAAAAATCATGAATAATCAGGCCCCTTTATATCATAAAGATCTTTATTACCCAAAATGAGAGCGCTTGTGAAGTATGCCGACAGCATGGAAAAAGAAAATGCATTTTTTTTTAAATTGATTTGTTTCAATATTAATCTTCTTTCTGGTTAAGTCAGTTTATATAGTTTTCTCATTTTTATTATGAATCTCTTCAAAAATTTTGCGGGGAACTAACTTTATATGAAGTATTATTTCTAATCTTATTTAACGTAATACCAACCTTAGCCAAGCAAAAGGCTGTAAGAGGCATGATCACATACTGGGACACAACTGCAATAGCCACCCCCTTAGGTTTCATGAGGTGATACTGGAAACAGAAGAAGGTAGAAAACTGATCAGAAATAATATCACTGGATATATAAACACACTTCAAAACATTAAAAAGTACATTTCAATTCATAAAAAGGTAAACTTTCAGTTTTCTGTATTCATAGCAATAAGTATTATTCCGAAATCCTGTATCTGTAAATATTTGAAGATTTTATTCCAGTTTGAGTAAAAATAATCAGTCCGTCCGTCCTTCCTTCCTTCCTTCCTTCCTTCCTTCCTTCCTTCCATTTCCTGATGCTTATCCAGGTTCAGGTCATGGGGCAGCAGTCGGAGCAGAGAAGTATAGTCTTGCCTCACTCTTGCCATCTATTCCGGCTCACTCAGGTGACACCTTGCCATTTCAATGGCAGTATTGAATAAGTATTGAACACTTTACCAATTTGCTAAGTGAATATATTTCTAAAGGTGGTACTGACATCATTTCAAAGGCAGATGTCACTAACAACCCATCCAATCTACACAAAGAGATTTAAACCAGGCATATCCATAACTAACAGAGTTTCCTTGGATCTGTGTTTGGGACGTCCACCCTTGTTTTATCGTCATCATCCTGGTAGTGTCATCGTCCTGGGCCGTGTTGGCCCAGTATTCTTAGTTCTCTTGTATTTTTGTATTCAGTTCCCTGTTTAGGTTCTGTTTCCTGAGTTGCCCTGTTATGTTGTTCCCTGTGTGCTTTCCCTTTGTGACTCTCACCCCCTGTGTGCCCCTCTATGTATTCATGAGCCCTTGTCCCCTTTCGTGTTTTATTCCATGTTTCCCCCAGCCGGTTATGTCTGTGTTCTCCCCGTGCTCTCTCCTCCTGTCTGAACCTCTGTGTACTTCCTGTTTTACTTTGACAGTCTCTCGTCAGTATGCGTCATGTTGTGTTCACTCCTGCCCTGTCTCGTTATGATTATCTGTGTCAGCTGTGTTCCCTGTGTGCTCCCACTTCCCTCGTTAACCCTCTGTGTATTTATGTCTGCGTCTCCCTCAGTTCTGTGTCGTAGTCTCCCTCATAGCTGCGTGGATTTCCCTGTGTCTCTCTGCAAGTGTTAGTTATTGTTCCCGGTTTAAGTTTTGTATTTCTTGTGATCTGCCTTCCAGCATTAAAGCTGTGATTTTGAGTTTATCCCCTGAGTCCGTGAGGTTGCATTTTGGGTCCTCATCCTGCCTGCCACACAGCTATCATGACAGGTAGATGACAGCAGATTTTCATCAAGAATGTCCTGGTACATTTTTCCATTCATCCTTCCTTCAATTATATGAAGCATGCCAATGCCATGTGCTGAAAAATACCCCCACTCCATGATGTTCCCACCTTCAAACTTCACTGTCGGTATGGTGATTTTAGGGTAATGTGCAGTGCCTTTTGACCTCCAAACATGGTGTGCATTACGGCATCCAAAGAGTTCTGTTTTGGTCTGACCAAATTATATTCACCCGGTATTTCACAGATGTGTCTAAATTTTGTTCAGCAAACGTTGAACATGTTTCAAAATGCTTTCTCATCAGCAATGGAGTCTTGCTTCATGAGCATGCTTACAGACTATGGCGTTTTAATGCATTACTTATTGTTTTCTTTGAAACAATCGTACCTGCTGATTCCAGGTCTTTCTGTCCTTGACTCTTGGACTTGAACTCTTCTGATGTTTATTTTCACTCGTCTGTCTGGTAGCACCTGGTCATGTCCATTTTATGGTGAAATTATGTTCTTTCCACTTCCAAATTATGGCCCCTACAGTGCAACACTGGAACCTTCGCTAGTTTAGATATTTATCTGTAACTAATGCCATCACTATGTTTTGCAACAACAAGGCTGCGAAGGTCTTGAGAAATCTTGTTGGTTTTACCCTTCATCTTATGTTTCTTGTGTGACACCTTGGTAATGAGACACCTTTTTATAGGCTCAGTTGGGACTGAAACTGCGGAAATTAGTTTGCATTAAGCGGCAGGATTGCTTTCTATTTACTCTATTTCAGCTGGCGTCATGACTTTCCACAGCTTTTAGCACCTCCTTTTCTTCATGTTTATGTGTTTACAACTTTTATCCCTGTGTCATTTCTCATGAATGGATTGCATGGTTTGCTGCCAACATGTGAGAATTTCACATTAACCATATTTACTTATTTTATCCTTTTTATCTAAACCTGGCCAGCAATTCCTTGCAGGAACTGGAATGTGTTGTCAGGCATAAGGACATCCTCGAAAATCCTGCTTACGTGAAATTTTTTCAAGCTTTGTCACAATGCTTTTTTGCATATACACAAACCACATACATTTGAATTCACTGCTGATCTTGGTCACCTTGATCTTAGACACCTCCATGGTGCATCCAAGTGAAACCATGTTGATGATGATTATGATTATAATCACTACTGAAATGGCATCATTAAGAGCAGAGTTCACAGCAGGACGGTAAACCCAGGTGGTGTTTCCAACCGTCACATTGCGCCACAAATCTTGATGAGAGGTCAGGTTTGCTGTGTTGTTCATGGTGCCTTCAAATCAGAAGAAACACGAGGTCCTGAGCTGTGAGTGAAAAACCACAAGTGGAGAAGAAGAAAAGAGTAGAGCAAGAGTTAAGCAGAATACCAGCATCTTTGTTTGTTTACATTCTGTGCTCAGATTAAGTCAGTCCTTAAACTTTGTGAAGAAAACTTCTCTAACAGGAAGTTCACACTCTGTCTTATTGAGATATCCTTATGATACAGATTCTGAGCTGTGGTAAGATAATTTTCAGATGCATTTTGTTGAGCTGTATTTAACCCTTTAGAGCCGGTCGGAGCAGGCACGCTCTGTTTTGCGTAACTATTTTTAAATCCCAGTAGCTCTGCAACCACGTAAGCTAGCGCAATAATTTTTTTTTTTTTTTTTTGCATATGAAACCGGAGGAGTTGTACTTACATCTTATGCCATCAGCTTGTCCTAGGTCACAGTTTCCTTCCACATATAGCTTTGCAAAAACTGCATAAAAAGCACTTGCAGCAACAAAAACATAATATTCCAGAAACACGCTTTGCCGATCCGATCAGCTGTTCATAACACTTCCTACATTGGAATAGACGTCAGCGCGAACTTTTGCATGTCCGCCATTACCTGCCCGAAACCGGAAGTGACGTCATTTTCGCGGAAATGTAGTTTTTTTTTTTACCATCAGGGCCTCAGGGCCTATACTGGTGTTTTTAAAAGTTATCTTTGACTTTATGACTTTCTGTGTCGTTTCTGGGATGCTTAGGACTCATATTGCACTGCTGGAAATAGTTTATTTTGATGCATATGCTGCTTTTTTGCAAATTTGCAGTATAATTATTTTCGTTTTTCCTGCAGTATATAAAAATTGGTGTATTTCAAAAATAAAACTATGAAGACACAATAAATTTCCTGTGGTAGGAAACTATTTTGTGCAACTTTTTTGTATTTACAGTTTTGAGGGATACGCCTCTTAAATTTCTCTAACTAGAAATATATGTTAAAAAAGGAAAAACGATTTTCAATTTTTTTGTAGTTTATTGCACTTCTTTGCAATTTATGTAATTACCAGTGTTGGGAAGGTTACTTTTAAAATGTATTCCATTACAGAATACAGAATACATGCCCCAAAATGTATTCTGTAACGTATTCCGTTACGTTACTCAATGACAGTAACGTATTCTGAATACTTTGGATTACTTAATATATTATCATGCTTTTTACAACAACGTGAATGTACTATTGCTGTGTGATTTATTACTATTACTGAAGGTCCGCGTCTCCGAACTGTAGTAAAGGGACCTCTGGCTAATACGGCGGGGTCCCTGTCGGCTTGTAGCCGAAAAATAGCTTTACTTTGTTGTGTGGGTCAACTTTTCTTGCGAGAGACAGAGAGAGGCGTTGAAAGACTGCTCCAACGGAACTTATTGTTTTCGGAGGAAAACACGAACATGGTGTACAGTCGAGTCTTAATAGCTTACTTACAACTGGGCTCGTCAGGCACTCTTCTTGGCTGCAGTGGTTATTATTATATTTACATGCTTCCAGCTCCCGTTTTTGCTCGATGACAACTCGTACCTTTCCACTCCCCTTTTTCTCCCTCCTCGCTCACAGACACATAACGTGTATGGCAGTCCATTCTCCCTGCAACACGGACTACACTGCCCATGATGCTACATTCTCTAGAGCTATGCTTGTAGCATTCTGCCTGTTAGCTTAGCACAACAACAACAACAACAATAACGACGAAAAGGCGCTCTCTCACCCAGGAAACACACAGTCGCAGAGAGAGAGAGAGAGAGAGAGAGCGTCGCCCTGTAACCATGGCAACCGTAACGCTGCCGCCTGGAACAACAGAACGTAGCTGTCAAACAAAACCCAAACAGTCCTGACCCGCGCCAAAATTAAACAGGAAAGTACCGCAGTGTAATCCATTTATTTCAACAAAGTAACTGTATTCTAAATACCACCTTTTTAAACGGTAACTGTAACGGAATACAGTTACTCATATTTTGTATTTTAAATACGTAACGGCGGTACATGTATTCCGTTACCCCCCCAACACTGGTAATTACTATGCACTTAATGCATACATATTATTAAAATCTGGGCTGTAATTGTTGTATTGATGTATAGCAACTTGAAATGCTCCAAAAAATGGCTCCACAGCATGTAAAAATATAATATAAGCTCTGGCGGACTTAGTTCTATGGTAGGTCTTAAAGGGTTAAGTAATAGAACCTAAAGAAGCCAATAAATTGCTGAAATAAATGCAGAAAATTCATGTATATGTACTTTTGGTTGTTATGCTTGGTTTAATGTTCTGGCAAATCTGTCATATGTTACAGCACTATAGTAAAGACTATTCAATACAGAGAATGATTTCACTTTAATTTGTCCAAAAATAAAAAATTAAATAAAGCCACTTTAAGATCGCTGTGCGCTCTCTGTAAGAGTGTCACACCTAACGTAGGCAAACGTAGGCAGACCAGAATAAAGGGTTTATGTTTTTACATGAACAAGGAAATAATAATACTGTAAGTAAACTTAAGTCGTGCATAAGTAATTTGAAGTATTCTCTAATTTCATGGTAATTTTGCAGAAAACCAAACAATATTTTCCTATCTTACTCTGAAAATATGTTGTATTTTCCAGGGTGTTGGTCATATTATGAAATGCATAATTTGACCTTTTACATCATTTTTTTAAACATCTGTATTTAATACTCACTACACTGATGTGCATGAGATTGAGGACTGTTTTCCCTTACTAAAGTTTAAGAAGAACTTAATACCAACAATATTTGCAGGCTTATGACCTTATAATGATGGAGCCAAGTCTAATTTAATTTGTTTGTTTTTTACAATCACTGTTCACAAAGGAGGGTCTCCTTTCCTGTAAGAAACCAGCATTGTTACTCTGCTCCATTATACAGCCCACATCTCTAAAATGATAACGCATTTACAAGTTGAAACAACAACTGTAAGATGGAGGGATTTTCCACAAAATTAACAAGACATTATGCAATACTTAAAATTACTTACAGTATAGTTTGTCTCCTATCCTTGAGACTACCCAGAATTTAGACACCACTTAAAATTAATTGCACTACAAGAACTTTGCCAGCTTTGAAAATCACAGTTACATGTGCTGCAAACTGTCAAAATTTGAAATGCCTCAAAGTTCTTTTGGAACGTCTTTCAAGACATATATGGTGCTGTAAACTCAGATTTTGCTTCCCAATGTAAAGATAAGATTACCAGATAAGATAACCTTTGTTCGTCCCATTTGTTAGAAGACGACTACATGATAGATTATGTAAGGTTGGCTGTGTCAAAATGATCATGCGGAACAAGCTGATGTTTCAGTAAAAGTAATTTTAGGAATGGCGCAGAGTTAATTTAAGCTAGAAACAGAACATGTCCTGCAGGAATTTAATTCAAGTGATTTAAAAGTTCACTTTCTTCTCCATTTCTAACATACATACATACATACGGTGCAAATACACTGAATCTTTTCTTGACTTTTAACACTTGGGTACAACATGTTTAACTAACTAATTAAGTAATTAACTAAACAATGCATATTCCTCACTGGAAGCTACTTCAATCTGGTTAACCTGTGCACTACTGAGAAACAACACGCAGCATTTAATTGTTTCAAATTGCACACTCCTTTGTCCACATGCTGTGTGCACACAAATTGCTTTCACAAGATTGCACATGTGTGTTTTCTATTCATTTTGTGCTGTATGAAAAAACACTATAGCCCACCAATGCTTGATAAAAAAGTCAAGACTGACTTCTGGAGTTTGCTGCAGGTGAGAATTGCACACCTAAACCTAATAGTCATTCTGCAGAAAGCAGAAAAAATTAGGGAAAAACTCACGATGATTTTCAAGAAATAAACAGTTGACAGATATGTTTACAGGTGTATTCAATGCTTGGTTTACCTTTTAGGTCAGATTCTTCCTTTGCTCTGCTCTCATCTCTTTGTCATAAAATAAACTCCTTTTGTGTTGCCACTCCTTTTATATGATTCAAATGACACATGGAGGCCTCTGGTTGTCCACAGGTGCCATCTAGTGCACAGCTGACTTCAGCACCTACAGAGGAGACCATCCTCCTCCAAATAAAACTAAAATAAAATAGAATATTATAATACTATAGCACTACAAGACACTTTATTTTAGTTTTTAAATAATGTCTCATCTATTTAGAAGTAATATTTTCATCTCAGAACATATATGTTGTTCCGACCACAAGTAATCTACATATTGTGTTTGGTATCTGTACAGCTGGAGTGGTTTGTGTGTGTGCTGTGCTTGGATATTATATGTGAAGTCATGAGTGGAAATCACGATCAAATGAAAGCTCCCGAAAGACCAGAGCGGCTTGTTGTTGGTGGTGTTCGAGTCCATGTACTTACCCGCAAACCTCTCATTTTTGTCTATTCTTTTTTTTTTTTTTTTGTCTCAGAGATAAATTAAATGTATGATTCAAGGAGTAAATCAGGCCTTTAAGGCCTTCAAGCCCAATTTTGTCACCACTATTTACTGTGTTTTTATTAATAAATTGTGACATCCTCTGCAAAATGTCATATATACATATATGTCAGCTTTTGTTTGTTTTTTATTTATAAACAAAATTGTGACAAATATCTTGTATGTTGCTGGTCCATCCCATCTATCCATTCATCTCTAAGGCCAGCAAAGGCTGCTATCGTCAGTCTGGACAGTGAATGGCCTACCCAGCAGATACTGTCTGAAGTGGGAAGTGAATGCCACAACTACTAGAACCTCTCGCCTGGTCGTGCAGTAGTTTTGTTCGGTAGTTGACAGCCACCTGCTCCAATAAGTCAGGATCTGCTCTTCGCCCCCTGGCACTTGGAAAAGGATTGCTCCGATCCAACAATTGCTGGCATCAGTGTCGAGGAACAAGTCACCCTGGTCCAGAGGGTAACCCAGGACGGGGACTGCTGTACCGCCGCTGTGACGGTCCGCTGTGCAGGCCATTCCATCACTTGTTGAACTTTCTGGGAATCTGTGGAAATGCCTCCTGCAGAGATGATTTGGCCCAGATAGACAACCTGCTCCCGGAACAGGCAGCATTTAGATGGCTTCAGTTTTAGGTTGGCTCCACACAATCTGATGAATGCTTGCTCGAGCCGATCCAGCATCTGGGTGCTAACCTGACCCAGGACAATGATGTCATCAAGGTACATTAAACACGTCTCCCACTGCAGCCCAGCCAGGACTCTGTCCATATGCCTTTGGAATGTGGCCGGTGCATTGCATAGCCTAAAAGGCATCACATTCCACTAGAACAATCCCTTACGGGTACAAAATGCAGCTCCTTTTTGTACCCGTAAAGGTATCTTATATTATCTTATGTCAATGGAAAATTGTACTTAGTAGTGTTAAGATTCAGTATTGAGGAAGGGTACAAGAGGTGATCGAAGAATAACCACACCGATCCGGCCGGGTGAAGTCAAACGATGATTTTAATGAACACACGTGTGGGAAGACAACTCTGTACGCAGACAGAAAGTAGTCTTCGACTTAATCAAAGCATGAACAGATATTTTATAGCATCAGGGTTTGTTTACTGACGCCCCTTCATGCGTCACCAGTACATTTTATACATAGATCAGATCAACATCATCATGACTTTTCACCCAGAAAATCATCTTCTATTTTCATGGCTAGCCCTTCCTGTCTACCTTTCAGTTCTTGTCTTGTTCCTCTTTCTTGCCGAGACAACAAGGAACGGTTCCTCTTTTACCGAGACACTTTTGCAGTTACAGCCAAACATAACTAACCTCTCCTCTAAATAAATCTAATTTAAAGTGTGTGTGTGTGTGTGTGTTGACCTCACATGCTCTTTGTGTCACCTCTTCACCTACTGTCTGTGTCTCGTCCTCAAATGCTCTTTCTCAATTCACCTGTTGCACTTCTGACCTTTTACCAGACCAGAAGCTCACTGAAACTATGTGTATGTCTTCTACTAAATAAATGTTTTAACCAAGAACCTCTACTAAAACCTTAATATAAAATGACCTGATATAAGTGTTTTGTAAGCATGTATTGCGATTCCTTCTATGGCTCCAAGTCACTTGCACAATAGATTGTCCGAACATCGCGCCGAACAAAGCTTCCGACCCCCAATTAATTGACCGAGCTCCAACTCTTTAATAAGCACAGATATGCATTGTGTATAAAATAGTCATAACTGCTTAAGGCCTTCTTAAAGCTATCTGTTACATTGTTAAAGCCTCGTCTTAGCCTGCGGCTCAAAATAACTTCCTGCTTTCACTTCTGCATACAACTTCCTGTCAGCCTGCAACTCAGTCTTTCTGAAAGAGACACTGTTTAAACCTTTGAATGCAATATCCATGCTGCAGATTATATTATTAATGCAATGACAATTATTTAACAATAGCAGTAAAATAATTTCCCTCCTCGACACTCCCTCTTTTGACCTCTGGAACACCAGAGGTCACAATACATTGTGTCCTCACGCAGACCCTTCTCTGGTGGTCTCGAACCTCGAGATCTCCAGGATCCTCGCCCCTCCTGTGGTCGCCGAGATCTTCTGCAAAGGAAACAAAACACCTTTTCTTGCATCTCCCTAACTTATCCTATCTGGGACTCTTTAATCAAAAGCCTGATCCTAATTATGCTCTTAACTTATTGACTTGTATTTATGTATATCCTTCAACGTTCCTCATCACTTTAAACTCTTTAAGCCCTGCTTTCACGTCCAGTTGCTCGCTCTATTTTTCCCTTATCTGATCATCAACATCCTGTGCACAAGTTGTCACTACTACAAGTTCCTCCACTCTAAAAGAAAACAACCACTTTAATCAATTAAGTTTAAGCATATAAGCAATTACTCCTGTATACATTTCCTCATAGCTAAATGCTGCCTTGAAACAACTCCTATGTGTTAACTTCATTTTAACCTCACATTTCCTATGTTATAACCTGTTTTGGTATAGCCTTTTTATTTCATTTTGCTCCTTTTAATGTAACAATACCTTCTAATTCTAATGTATCAGACTTAACCAAAACATATGCTTTCCTTCCTCTTTGGTCCTTCTTTAAGTTCAGTTAAAAGCTAAATGAATTTAAGGCCTTTTGCCTGGAATCAATACTGTCATGTGTGTTTCTTAACTCTGTGTCTGTAAGCGTGTGCAATCCTTTATGAACTCATATTATCCTCACAGTAGATTGGCTAATCATAGCGCTAGCCAAAGGCTCGTGACCCTCCAGAGACAAATTTGAGCCACAACTCCTTTAAAAGCTCAAAATGCAATATGTATAAAAATCATTTCTATTTATAAGCTCCCCCTTTTATCCTAAAAATACCTCCTATGTAATATCTGTATGTGTACGCCTACATTATAACCACTTCTTCTAAAGATCAAAAATCAAAGCTGCTCTACCCCTTCAACCCTCACTAATTTTCCCTCTAAGATTTATTCACAGCTTTGAAAAACCGGCATTGTATCTTCTAAACAGGATTCATAGTCCTGGGCCATGTTGGCCCAGCATTCTTGGTTCCTTGTATTTTCGCTCCTTATTTAGGCCAGGTTTTCTGAGGTGACCTGTTGTGGTGTTCCCTAAGTGTTTTTTCCCTTTGTGACTCTTACCCCCTTGTGCCCCTCTGTGTATTTATGAGCTCTCGTCTCTCTTTGTGTTTATTCCATGTTTCCCCCAGCCTGTTATGTCTGTGTTCTCCCCGTGCTCTGGGTGTATTTAAGTTGTGTCTTCTGTTATGGTAGTTGCTGGTTTGTCTGTGTTGTTTCCCCTCGGTCTCCCTGCGTCTCGTTTCTGGTTTGTGTTATTAGCTTACCCAGTTTAGGTTGTTTTTTCCACCAGTGCTGTTTTGTGCCCACCGTTGTAAATAAATATTCACCTGCACCAGAGCTGCCGCCTTTTGGGTCCTTTTCTACAACTCCACACGGCTTGCCTCGCAAACCGTGACAAGTTCACTTTTAATCCTTTAACCTTAACTTAAAAATACCAGTTTCAGTTTTACCATATCCAAATGATCAAAAACCCAAAAGGTCCTAAAATGATCCTAAATTATTAAACAATTAAATTATTAAACCCTAAACCCCCCTTTATCTTGATACATTTCATGTGTCAAGATACTATACAAAACTTAAAACTGCTCAGTTTTCCCCACTCATGATCCAATATATGTCATAAAAATAAACTTAAAACAGAACAGTTATCAGTCATGTGTTTCTACAATTAATGGTAACTAAGTTACATCAAAAATATTTCCCCTTTAGCATTTGGCCTTCTCCCAACAATATACTATAATCCCATAATCTAACCCCACCTAATAAAACAAAAATTTTTCTGGTAAAAGCAAATTGTTTATCCACATTAATTCATCCTCACTCACATACAGTCTCACATTCACTCACATTCAGTCACACCATATATTTGCTGATGGTGGAGCCTCCCGCACAATCAAATACTCCACCCTCAGCAAAATGAGCTCCGTCATTTTTTATTTTCCATAGGAAAATATTTCTTTATGCTTTTGGACTGGATTGACTCGCATAAAATCCTTTTTACAGGGACTTACGACCTTGATCAGTCCCCACAGGTAGCTTTCTCCTCAGCCAATTGTAATCTGGAAAGCCCCCTTATATTTGCTCCTCCCGAGAATTTTCAGCGCCGTTATTCACTGTTGCAGGCCTGCTTAAAACAGAAATGAAAAATAGAGCTGATTGTTAGCTCATAAAAACAAAACAAAATCACCTGACAGGTTTTCTTTAAGTGCACTGTTACAAAATAATGGGCCCAATTTTAGACATGTCCATGTTTCCTAAAACTCCCTCTATTTAAAACAAAAACACCAACAACAACCTACCTGACAGAATCAACCCATCACCACAACAACCTTAAACACACAAATCTTGCCACCACATAATTTCACCTCCTCAATACACCAAAAGTCTCATTAAAACCACTCAATTTGCAAACAAAAATCACCCCCTTATACTCTTAAATTCAGCATAAGACCCCTTACGACATCATATAATCA